AGCAGTGTGGCCACAGTGGCTGGGTTAGCTGCCCAAGTGTGTAGCTAGGATCTCTGACGGGATTGTGCTTGGGTAGCGAGCTGGAGCCACACTGCTATTTTTAGCATGTGTACGTCTATCTGACCTGGGAATTATACATCCCAGCTGCAGTGTAGCTGTACCCGATGTGTGTGGTTGTCCCTAGCACACCGTGTCCTACCATAATGCACACTATAAATAATACTATTTCCTGGGCATTCCTTGCTAACCAAGCTGAATGCTGCATCTCCAGGGTGCACGGATATTAGCGATCTGCTGCCTTCTGAAGTCTGTTCTGGGAGCAGGAGTGGCTAAACAGCCAACACTGAGGGCAAGGGCCATGTGGAGCATGGTACACACCTGGGTTAGAGCACGACTCGAAGTGTCCCCATGGTTTCCACTGGAATGTGGGGCTTGTGGAATGGTGAGTAGGGGAGGAAGCTCTGTGCCACACCTGAGAGCAGGTCCTGGTTTCTGGCTGTTAGCTGGAGGTAGACGGAGTGTGACTGATGGTTAGAATGCCACTCCGTTTTATAAGAACAACAACGCACCACTTTTGTCTTGTAGGAGCCAAGTTTCATCCACACGTTGAAACTGTGCCTGCAAGTTTTGTGTGCTCAGAGCAGGGCTCCACCCTGCATGTTCAAGGACGTAAGGCCTGTTAAAAAGGCACAGAGCTGGTGTTCTGCATGCACAAAACTTGCAGGTGCCATTTCCAACGACAGCTTTGAAAACATCCCATTTTGGTAGTGGCTGAAGTGGTGACTGTAGCGCGTGTAAAGCTTTCTAGGAGGCTTTGGGTGAAAGACTCGAACATGAGTCTGAGTAATTAGCATATAAAAAGCCAGGCCTGTTGGCCATTCCATCTGGGTTCTGAGAGTGACTTTCTGGTATAGCGTCAAGGGTGTCTTTCCTCCTCGTCACGGCCACTGCACGTCGCTGCCAGCTCAGTGACCCGGGATGTTGTGCTGTGCTGGGTGGTGAATAGCCAGGGGACCTAGTAACAGCAAGGCACAATGGAGCAGGAGCAGCACAAGGAAACCCTGTTTAACAGCATGTCTGTACCGCGCTAGCCCTGCCTAGAATCGCTTCCCTAGCAGGTGCTCAGGGAGCCTTTTATTCTGATGTGGCTGTTTGTAAACAGTAATTTCAGCCATTGGCAGTGAGGTTTTAGCACTTTCTGTCCCTGAGGGCTCAGACTCCGGGTTCTTGTCATTCTTAGTGCCAGGAGGGAGCGTTTCCCTGCAAACAGAGAGGGGGTGGGGAGCTGCAGGCTGGCCATGGAGTGAGACTAGGGTGACCAGATGTCCCGATTTTGGGGTCTTTTCCTTATATAGGCTCCTATTCCACTCCACCCCCAGTACTGATTTTTCACATTTGCTGTCTGGTCACCTGAAGTGAGACAAACAGGCTGAGAAATGAAAGGGCCCATGCGGGGGACGAACCCAGGCTCTGTCCATCTGGACACAGAGGCCAGTGCAGATTGGTCTTTCCATATCTCAGCTTCATGCACCCTGACTCCACCTGACGGTAGTACAGACACCCCAGCGAGTGTTTTCCTGCTGCTGGGGGACAAGCGGGGGGAGGTAATTTCTTTGATTGGACAACTTCTGTTGGTGAGAGAGACACCCAGGAGCGCTGCACGAAGCTCTTCTGCAGGTCTGGGTCAGGGACTCCAGCATCACAGCTAAACACAAGGGGGAACAGATTGTTTAGCATAAGTAGTCAACACATATTTCCAGGGACCATTCAGAGTGCAG